CAATGAATATAATGTCAATATTTATAAAAAAAATTCTAAAACCCTAGTTGGACAGGAAACAACTTGCTAGGATTACAAAAGATTACGATAAAAAATAGAATTCTAATGAAATAAGGAAACCCGCGAAAAAGGATACCCATATCTTTTATGTATTGCTTGTCCCAAATCATATCATATTGTATCCTTTATGGGGTGTCTGCTGACCCTACCAAGATTTAGACAATTGTTGATTGGCCTGAACCTAAGACTATACGTGACGTCGGGAGTTTTCATAGCCTAGCTACATTTTACCGTCACTTCATCAAGGGGTTTAGGATAATCATGCTCCTATTATGGAGTGCATGAAGAAAGTGGAGTTTCATTAGACACAAGAAGTGACTAAGGCTTTTAAGTTAGTCAAGAAGCGAATGGCGGAAGCTCCTATCATGCGCCTTCCTGACTTCTCCAAAGGTTTTGAGGTCGAGTGTGATGCCTCTAGGGTAGATATAAGTGGAGTCTTTAGTCAGGAACACCACCCTATAGCTTATTTCAGTGAATAGTTAAATGTTGCAAAACAACGATACTCGACTTATGATATGGAATTGTATGCAGTTGTACAAGCTTTGCACTATTAGCACCATTATTTATTGCCACAAGAGTTTGTTCTTTATTTGGACCATAAGGTCCTCGTCATCTCAACTCCTAGAAAAGGTTGAGTTCTAGGCATGGTCACTAGATTAAGTATTTGCAGGTGTATTCTTTTGTTTTGAAACATAAGAAAGGTATTGAGAACCAAGCAGCTGATGCATTAAGTCATCGTATCTCCCTTCTGTTGATCATGAACGTTAAATTTATAGGTTTTGAAAGACTTAAAGAAGAGTATGAAACGTGTCCTGATTTTAAAGATATATTTTTCAATTGCAAGATGGACGGTCGGATACTGTAGATCTCAATTCCCTCGAAGAGGGTTCCTTTTTAGAGCCAATAAATTGTGCATCGCTCGAACATCAGTGTGGGACTTCATAGTGTAGAAAATTCATCCGGTGGCTTAGCCGATCACTTTGGGCATACGACCATAGAGGAGATTGAGTGGCAATTCTATTGGTCTAGTTTGAAGAAAGATGTGGCTGAGATCTTTAATACCGGTAACACCTATCAGTTGGCTAAACACTGATCTCTAGAAGAGGCAAAACACTGGTCTATATATACCTTTTCCCATTTCTGATTGCCCTTGGCAAGATGTGAGTATGGATTTTTTTTTTAGGACTTTCTCGAATCCCTAA